TTTAATAATTTTTTAATTTTATAATCAAGTTTTTAAGGATAATGTATTAATTATTAATAGTTGAATATGCTAATTAATTGTTAAAAAATATCTTTTCATGCTCAAGAGATTTTTTCACTGCAAAGAAAAATTTAATAGTTAACAATTATCAGTGAATATGAACATATACTAGTGATTATGAATAATATCTCATGAAAAAGCTTAAACTTGAAATCAATTCAAACCACTCAAAAACCAAATCAAACATATAAGATGAAAAAAATCAAAGAGGTTATAAACTATATTAAACTAATTAGTTTGGTTCAATTTGATTTTTTCTCAAAATCAAACCAAACCAAACTCATGAACATCCTTATAAGATATATCAAACACCGCCGTGTAAGCTAACTTGTTCTTGAGATACCCTCAGTTAAGGGTGGAAATATATGGATTTGTTCACCTCAATTTCACAACCAAGAAAATTTGGGACCATTGAATACAAAATTGGGCCAAGATTAGCATAGCTCTTATGTAAGAATGACATGGATAAATCGATAAAAATACTATGATAATTGTTTGGACTTAAAATGAAGTAATGTTTGATTATAGTTCAAAAGTATAAAGAGAAAACATTAGACCCAATAATTCATCCACAAAGACAGACTCAATCTATTTTTTTGAGAAAAGACTTTTGGACTAAGCAAGCATTGAATCATGAAAAAAACATAACTCTTAAAACTTAAAATGATTGAACTAAGAGGATTGTTACTTGAACGTGCCTCGAGTCTCACAAGACCATGCCTAACAAGAGCAGATATTTTGGCATGAAACATTTGGGCTTTTGGTTTTGCAGATATAACAACCTCAAACCAACATTATAAAACAGAAAAGAGGAGGCAACGGACTATGAATAACAAATGACTCACAAATATTTCATTGCTCAAATTATCTTTTATTTTTGCTTTATATTTAGAATTTAATTCTTCTTTAATTTTTTTTTTGTAATTCTATAACTTTTACACTATCAATTAAAGGCTTTTTTTTTTTTACAATTATTTTTGCATCTTTACATCTAAACAAAATTGTGGTAAGGAAGCTGGAAGATCCTTGTTGACATTGAGATACCGCGTCTTTGACATGCTTGTTCTGGTTCAGAATCGCGAATAATAACATTACGCTGAAGCCTGAGGGCAAAGAGGGAGAGAGAACAAAAGCAAAAGAATTCGTCCTCGCGCTGAGGTGGGCCGACATGATTGCTGTGAATTTCCAAACTCTAATTATGCTATAACGGGTCAACTGCTTGCTTTCTTCGCTTCGACTGCAATGTGAATAATAAGTAATATACAGTCGATAATGAGTAATATATAGTCGAGGGATGCCGTCACACAGAATATATTAAATTCTTGATTATTAATTCCAAGGCCCTAATCTGAATTAATACTGCTACGTTGACGCAAATCTGCGCTCCATGATTTTGTTTCATTTGAATGGGCCTAGAAGCCCAACATGTTGTTAGTTTTTGGGCTACCATTCGTTTGGAAATCTTATCCCAAAGAAAAAGTTCAATTGGAAATGGAAACAGATGAGGAACCAATTTGAGCTCTGTGGTGTAGCTTTCCAGTAATGACCCAATTCTGAAGGGCACTCGTTTAAAGACCCAGACCCATCTCGATATCAATATATCAATACATATAATTTATAATGATTCATGTTATTTATGAATCACAGAGGACATAATTTACCTCAAACTCCATATAACATAAGGAAAATCACATTCAACCTCCTTCTAAGAGGATTAATCATAAATAACAACCAATACGGACTGAGTTTTTATTAAAATAGGAACATGATTTTTTTTTAATAGAATTTGTTATTGATTTTTATTTGTGATTAATTTATTTGAAAGGATGCTGGATGTAATTCTCTTTGTAATATACCACCTTCGTTCCAAAAATAAGGTATTTTACTCAGTGCACATCCATCCAAAAGAAAATGTGAGATAATTAAAATCTCAAAACTTTTTCCAACTTTAAAACCATCAATCATTATTCACAATTTCACATATTTGTTAGGTGGGAGGTGGATCTGGATTTGGTACGAGGATCCGCAATGTCTGGCGACACATGGAGGGACTTGAAGAATTGATTAAATCAAACATTTTCTGCCACCAGATCAATGCAACACAAGATTCACCTTTTTCCCCGTATTCAAGAACAAATAGGCCTCATTTGATGTGATGAAAAAATTTATAATGAAATTAGAATTAGAATAAAATTAAATTTTAAAAATGTGTTTAGCATGAAAATAAAATTATAATATAACATTAATTTATATATGTACTTAAAATAGAAAAAGATTAAATTGCCCTTTTTTTAAAAATTAAAAAGACCTATCTTATTATAAATGGATAAAAAAATGAGGATAGTGGGGTTCACAAATTGAATTCAAGGGAATTGAAGCAATTCCATGATCAATATAATGAAATTGAATTTTAATATTTTTGGTGAAATTAGTATTTTTAAGAATTGCAACTCTTACATACCAATCATGCTTAAATTAAAATTTCATCTTTAATTCCATTTTTACCTTATCAATTCAATGTCACCAAACATGGACATATTCAGCTTTTTCTAATCGGGCTTTTTTTTGGGGTCCTTTTTGGTTCAGTATCAACGACGAGCTTGCTTATTCTTCCTTTGGCCCTTTCTTTTTCTAGAATGCGAAGATCAAGGGATTTATGGTTGCTTCTTCTCTTCATTCCTTCGATCTCTTGGTAAAATCTGAGTATGGGTGACATCAAGATTTTTATCGTCACGAGGATTCTTCCTCTTTCTTCATCCCCTCTAATTCTTTATCTAGTTGTTTTCGGGAATCTAGAGCTCCAGCAGTTCAGGCTGCTTCTTCATTCTGGGGCGTTTGAAGCTTATCCCTGTCCGTGAAGATTAGAATGAGCATTCTAGAATGTAGAGTGTCCAGAAAAGCGAGTCCCTTGGGGAATGCAGGAAAAATCATCCCATTAATGGATGAGAATGAAGGTTGGATGGAAGTATGGAACCACGAAATGGGTCACTCTCGGCTTCACTTGAACGAACTGAAAGGTGGCGTTTGAGGAAGAAAAAATAATGAACCAGTGTATCTCGACTTTAAGAATTTGATTAAATCAAACATTTTCTGCCACCAGATCAATGCAACACAAGATTCACCTTTTTCCCCATATTCAAGAACAGATATTCAGCTTTTTCTAACTTGGCTTTTTTTTGGGTCTTTTTTTGTTCAGTATCAACGACGAGCTTGCTTCTTCTTCTTCCTTTGGCCCTTTCTTTTTCTAGAATGCGAAGATCAAGGGATTTATGGTTGCTTCTTCTCTCCATTCCTTCGATCTCTTGGTAAAATCTGAGTATGGGTGACATCAAGATTTTTATCGTCACGAGGATTCTTCTTCTTTCTTCATCCCCTCTAATTTTTTATGTAGTTGTTTTCGGGAATCTAGAGCTCCAGCAGTTCAGGCTGCTTCTTAATTTTGGGGCATTTGAAGCTTATCCCTGTCCGTGAAGGTTAGAATGAGCATTCTAGAATGTAGACTGTCCAGAAAAGCGAGTCCCATGGGGAGTGCAGGAAAAATCATCCCATTGATGGATGAGAATGAAGGTTGGATGGAAGTATGGAACCACGAAATGGGTCACTCTCGGCTTCACTGGAACGAACTGAAAGGTGGCGTTTGAGGAAGAAATCAAATTATGTGAAATGCATTGCACATTAAGATGTAAGATTTTTAGAAAAAAGTTTTATATTTAGGAAGGAACTAGTAAGTCGCGTAAGCTCCGCGTCCAGTCTGCATAAACCGTAAACTTGCGAGACCGAACTGGAGATGTATGAACAACATTCATCTCACGAAATACCAATATTCACCATGAATGCAGTGTATGATTTATTTACATCATTATTAACATTCATTTGTTAAAAGAAATATGATCTGGATATGGAATGGAATATCAAGCATTGAATATGGGATGCCATATTGACCCATGCATACTTGCTGCATTCCTTGTTTACAGTCATACTCAAGGATTTGTAATTTCGGAATAAAGTAAATTAATCAAGATTAATTTAAATATTTTTTATTTTAGATTGATACCTTCTTTTTGGTAAAGATTGAGTTCGATATATATGTCACTCATTGTTAGCACCATTCTTTCTTTTCTTTTCTTTTCTTTTCTTCTTTTTTTTTTTGACGATGGCATTGTTAACACCATTCTATAGTTACTAAAGTTACCGATTCCGTCTTATTAAAGGGAAAAAAAAACAATTCCATCTAATAACGTGGTGGCAATTTTTCCACAAAAGATGCTTAGGCATATAGTTTGTTGAGATATTATAGAATGAAAAACTTCATTTCATTTATAAGTTACATTATTAAATTTTTATAATAAATTTTTTTATTTTATAAAATTAAAAACTTGTTTAATTTTTAAATAAAATTAATTAGATTTAAAAAAATTTTATCAATAAAATATATTAAAAATGATTCACGGAACTGGCTTCTTTCGCTTTAATTAGAGCCAATACTTCAATAAACATGTTATTTTTTATTTTTTTTTTGAAGAAAAAAGGAAATAGATCGAAAGAGAGAAGAAGTCACCGCACTTTTTCCCACGGAGACGTCATAGCAGGAACGTCTCAATATATCCCAATCCCAATGTCCCTCGAAGATTTCTGTGGTCTCAGCTCTTCCGCCAATCCTGTCCGACCACAGGAAGGGGCTCGATCCTAAAAGCGACGCCGCATCCAATGAAATGCTTCTGTCCTCGCTATAGTACATTGTTAACTCACCACCATTTGCCTCTCTTCACACATAATCTGCTCATGATATGGGAGCGAGTCTCTTTTTATTCCTTTAAATAACTATATTACACTAATAGAATTAGCTTCTTACATGATCTAGGTTTACCATGATTATTTACTTAGAATATACTTGTGTATACTCAAATGCCTTGTACTTGGAAAGATCAAATGTAACAGACTAGGGGGCACAACTTATTTTGCTCATGTTTAAGACTAAGTAATGTGGTTTACAGGGAAAATTAAAGCTGAGACGAAGAGAGAGGTGCGTGGGAGGTGACAACACTTGTCACATGACCCAGAAATAAATCCAGCAAAACACCAACGGCAACGAGAGAGAGAGAGAGATATATATATATATATATCTATATATATCTTGTTGTTCACATAGCACAACCCACATACTAAATGAAAGAGATCGAAATTCATGCCGGTGATTTCTTTCCAAAATGGGTTGCGCAGTTGAATCAGGCCAGTATCTGCTCGATGGGCTTCCCTTCCAATTTAGCCTTCTCCATCTCCTGGAATTGCTTCTCCTCTCTTGCCATCTTCTTCAACCTCGCCAGCTCCAGGTCCTTGCTCATCTTCCTCCTGTACATCTCAGCGAACGTGATCGGCTCCTCCATCACCGACTTCTCGCCCTCCCTGATCTTCAGCGGGTACACTATCGCTTCCGGAGCCGGGTTCTGGAACGTCGCTATCGACAGGCGGCTGTGCTCCGAGTTCACCACCGCCTGGTGATCCGCGTTCCTGAACCTCCCATTGCTCAGAAACTGTCACCACACCGTAATTGTTAGCTAATAATGCCGAGCCATTAGGGAACACCCCTGGTGGGTGAACGGCACTGTCGCATTTATGAGAGACGCAATCATGGAAAAGTTATTAGTAGTGTCGTGTCCGGTGTACTCACATGGCCGTGATCCCCGAGGTTGACGACGAAAGCACCTTCCACCGGCTGGACCGTGATCCATGTCTTGCCGTTGTCCCTGGTGGCCTGGAGCCCGCCGACCTGGTCCTGGAGGAGGAGGGTGATGGTGCCCGGGTCAGTGTGACGCTTGAGGCCAAGGGTGAGGTCCGGTTGCGGGCATTTGGGGTAGTAATTCACCACCACCTTCTGGTCCATGTCGACGCAGGCCTTCGTCAGGGCTTCCTTCTCCAGACCCATGGCCTCCGACAAAACTTCCAGCAGCTTGCAAGCCAATCCCATCAGCTTGTCGCTGTATTGCTCCGTCACCTCCCTCCAGGCTCCCGGATTGTCCGGCCACCTGGAGTAGTCCCTGTTCCTGATCGGGTATGAAAAGTAAGTCACGATCTCTCTCCAATCCTGCACAGTCTCCCCCTGCAGCCACGGCACAATCAAAATAGTGAATGCCGACCTCATTAATATACTGTGCACGAGAATAAGGAATGAATGCACGATATTATAAGATATAGGTATAGAAGGAGAGGATGAATTACCTGGAGATGGCTGGAGACGATAAAACCGCCCTTCTTGCCGCCGGACATATCGAACCGGAGCTTCTCTTCGGGGGGCAGGGCGAAGAACTCCTTGGCGAGACGGGTCATGTCGGAGATGAGTTTAGAGTCGACGCCGTGGTCGACAACCTGGAAGATTCCCCAATCCTCACAAGCGGCGACGATCTGGTCGCAAATTTGGGCCCTGCGACCGTGGAGGTCGTCTATGCCGGCGAGAGAAATGATGGGGATGTCACTGCTGAATTGGTTGTAGGCGACCTTGGGGCGCTCGTCCTCGTCGCGGAGGAAGCGAGACTCGAAGGTGTTCTCGTCAGAAAGTGAAGTGAGAGTCTTGGCGGGCGCCATGGGGGAAAGTTGCGAGGCTGTGAGGGAAGAAATTGAGGAAGAGTGATGGGGGTGAGTCTGAGAGTGGATGTGGGGGGAGGAAGGGAAGGTAATGACTATATATGGAGGGGCTCGGGATGGACAGCTCTAACTACCACGGGAGAGGCCATGAGTTTGTGTTCATAAAATCACACATCTAGCTACCGGCCCTCTCTCCACGTTCTTTCTAGAAGCCTAATTTTATCATTAATGCTGCCCGGTGCTCCCCTATTTCTTGTGGACGATACGATACAAAATGGTACAATACGTGCTCCCCCTTTTTACCTCCCCATCAGCCAGCCCCATTGATCGTTTTAATTTTTTCTAATTTCTTATATATTTTAAATTTCTTTTCCAGACCCAACAGTTGAACCTCAACCATCAATTAATCTATATGTTAAATGGGAGCAATTTAAATTTTATATTTAATCAAAAGGAGATCACTATTGATTGGATCGATCCAAATCCAACCTCTCAATTAGTCGCAATATTAGATTCAGTATATATACTTGAAAAAGGCGATTCAAATGAAGGCGTGAGATGAAGTGTTGTTAGGGGCATTGGTAAGAAATTTGGAGAGGAGAGCTAATTTGAAGATGAGAAGAGAGATACAGTAATAGGATGACCTAACGTTCAAAGGTAGAGGGGGAGATAGCTGATGATAAGGCAGTGCAGTGGCATCACATGCATGAAAGGAGTCAAATGGTGGCGTTTACGAATTGTTTAACCCGAAAGTTGTATCCCGGATGACATCATGACATCTAACATATATTTCCTCCACCGTTTAAGAACTTTCAATCAAAATTTACTTTTATTTATTTATCTTTAAATTAATCATCACTTTTTATATTTACTTCTATTTAATAAAATATTTTATTTAAAATAAATATAGTTATTTATTTAATTTGAGTATTTTTGAGGGGAAAAAAGAAATAATTACATTTTAAAAAAATTAAAAATATTTTATATTTTTAAACAAAGGAGTAGTGGGCTCACGTAATTAAGTATGTAGCTGCATGCCCAGCATCGCAAGTAAGCGGGGGTGACCGGGGAAACGCGAGAAAAAGATAACGGATGACATGAGATGCAGGAAAGACGGGGAGCAGTGGATGTGCAATTGAACGTTCCTGAGGTGGCGAATTTCAGAAGGTTATGATGAGGGAGAAGCCAAGTCAGAGGGGGCACGGAATCGGAATATTGAGCAGAGCGAAGCTGATGGATGAGGGATGAGGGATGAGGGGATGAGGGGATAGGGGCCAGGTGTGCATTGCCATTCATTCAATAACTGGGCTTCACCCTCCAAGCCCGCCTTGATGGACCTGACCGTTCCCCTTTCTTCCCCCTGAACCTGTTTAATTCGAAATCTCGCTGGCACCACTGCCTCTTTAAACTTTGTTTAGTCCAAAGAAAAAGGAAAAGAAAGGGAGGAGAGATTTTTATGTTATCTCTTCTTTTAATAATAATCTTAAAAGATTAAATTATTATTAAAGAAAACTTAAAAAATTAAATTGTTATTGAGGTAAACTTGAAAGACTAAATTATTATTGAAGTAAATTTTATCATTCCTTTTTAAATATGCATTGGATAACAAATTATAAACTAGAATGAGTTATAATTTATATTGAATGATAACATTTTTAACATACTATTTGTTTGTGTACATTATAATTTTATTTTTAAAAATTTTAAGAACAAAGTGCACGGGTAATAAATTTTGTTTATAAAATGTTGTTTGTGTTTTTAATCTATAAAAAATAAGATGATGAAAAGGTGAAAAATTCTATAATAAAAAATTGTGTGAATACAAACATTATTTTTAAAAGAGCTATTTTAAATAAAAAAATATCAATCGATGACCATTGAAAAAAATTTATATCAATCAGTAATTATTTGTTATCAAAATTAGAATGGATACTTGTTAGTTTAAATTAGTCTTTTAACAAGTATTGATTTAGATTTTAACAATAACTAATTATAAATTAACAACAGTTCATTCAAGCTTTTTTATTTAAATTTTGATAACAACTAATTCTTGATTGATATAAAATTTTTGTATCAGTCCTTCATTGCTATTGTTCCATTTTAAATTGCGTCGAACAATACTTGAATTTGACTTGGTTAGATAATTATATAAAAAAAGTGTGTTATTTGCATTTTTTTTATATGCATAAATATAACAAATTCTTAAATAAAGTATGTGGTTATTTGTATTTACAAGTAATAAATTTTTAACTAGAATATATTTTTTAAATTTTAATTTATGTCTAGGTCACATATTAAAAAGTTTATACTTTTTATATGCACATGATATGATATTTTAAAATAATTTGTGTAAGAATAAAATAAAATTTTATCAATTTTTTATTGCAAATAAGTACTTTCCTATTAGAAGCAATTTTATTTGAGATAAAATTGAATATTAAATGTGGATATCTCTCTCAATAAAAAATAATTTTTATTCTTCGTTTGTTATACATATCCAATGCGAAAATCAAATAAGATATTCATACAATTTAAAAAGAAAAATATTCTAAAACAAGGTATATGTTTCAAATTTTTTTTATCATTATATGTTTTAGAATATTAATTTACATGGATATAATAATTCATATATTAAAATAAATTATTGTCTATGTTTGATTATACATGGGATAACAAATTTTATGAAAAAAAAGTTATTTTTTATTTCTATTTTTAATCACAAATATGGTAGGGAAATAAAAACATATAATTAATGTTTATTATTATAATTATTTATCTATAACCACAAATACAATTTTATTTCACATTTTCTATAAACTATTATTTTTAAAAAAATATCAAATTAATATTTACTCATAATTAAATTATATCAATTTTTATAATTTGACTGGACCAAAGAAAATGATTGGGAGGTCAGATTTTAAATTTTGCTGACCTCAATTTAAAAAAAATGAAGAATTGCGGTTAGAAAGTTTTTAATGATTTTTTTTATTTTTTTCTTTTACATCTTTCAAATAAAATTTTATAACATATTTATCTATTTTTTAAAAAAATGAATTCATTAAAATATTATCTTTCCTTTTTTTTGTTTATTTTAAATAAAAATTGAGGATTAATACACAGAGTATAAAATCTAGTTGTATATTCGAAAGGATATTACTAGGCATTAAGATTCAAATTGTAAATCAGAATTTTAAATGGGATAGATTATTAAAAAAAAAATTAAATGCCCCTATTAGTAATGATGGCAGTTTATTACAATAATTTCAACTATTTTATTTTTTAATTTCGAATAAGAGGCACAATTAGAAAAAAGTACTACACTTAAAATTGAATAGCTTTCAGTTTTAGCTACATGAAACCAGTTCAGGTGATAAGAGTGGGATGATATGCATGCCTGTAGAAATCAAAAGCTCAAACCCTCTCAATGCAGACAAAAAATTGGTGGTAACTTTTGCTTATAATATTAACACCCGAAGAAAAACTTTGACAGTTTTGGGTGGCTTTTGCTTGTGATTGAGACCAAACGAAATTCCCATGCGCAAGTGAACTTTCTCATTTGTGTTTTGGGCTGGGAAAAAATAACAAATTTTGATTCATTTCCTAGGGAGATTCATTTTAAAAAAGATTTTTTTATTAAAAAAATTTAGGTGTGATGATCCTGGGAGCTCGTGTGAGCATGTCTCAAGGTTGAAAGAGATTTTAAAAGAAATTTCAATTCCATTTTTTCTCGTCGCGACAGTTCCTTTTCTTGGCGTGCTTCCTCTTTGTGTTATCCTTGCATAAAGGTTATGCTAATCTTATTTGCCTCGTCCCAATTTGATTGGATGTCTCCAATGGAGTCTCTCTCTATGTTCTCCTCAATCACTATATTCCTAAGTGCTGATGTAAATCAGGTAAAAAAAAAATGTGCTGATGTAATTTTTTTTTTGGTCGACCTAATGAAAATTTATTTCCCTTCCTACATTTTTGTGTTCCTTTTTTTTTTTTTAAATTATATTATCAGGAGGGTTCAAACCGTAAACTTGGATCCATAACCCAACCTTGCCAAATCGACCCAGTAGTTTTAAGTTCCTGGGGCAACATAACACGCATTATTGAATATCAAACGAAACTTTTTATTTTCTGTACAATAACTCCCCCCCTCCCCAAACCGGTGATATATTATATAGTTTGCATATGAAATTAATTCTGTCCTTTTGCACACAACATTTAGTGCTAACCATTAATTTCATCTCTCTCATTTGAATGGCAATAAAAAAAAAAATATTGCCCTCCTTAAACCAATATCATAAGATCATTAGGAAGCCTGTTCAATTCAGTTTCCAAATTTTTATATATGAATATATCTGATATTTCATTTCTATACTCAATAGGTGCATGAATGAGGAGAATATAATTCAGTTTCTTTTGAGAGATTTATCCATTGGTAGTCTAGAATTGATATCAATTTAACCGCAATTAATTGCACACCAAATGATAAAATATGATTAAAAATATAGCTATGTTTATTTGAAATAAAGAACTATAATCAGAGAAAGAACAACTGAATACATGAAAGTAAAGTACACCTGAAAAAAATGACAAAAAAATAATTAAATAATGCATGTAAGAAAGTCTAAATGCGACCAACTAAAATTGCTGCACTAATAAAGGCTCTCATCACTTAAGTAAATAATTAGAAATTTGAATTTCAGTCTTATATAGTTAGCAACTTAGTTGAAAGAGGTTTTTTATTTAACTTCTATATCTCAAGAGAGATAATCTCCATTGCTAGTGGAGCTTCTCCTTATACTGGATATATACAAAAGAAAGTCTTAATATATTTGTAATTTGAGATGTTAGGTGGTTATTTATAAAAAAAAATTGAAAGTTTAGATTTTAGAAGGATTTTGAAACAATTTCAAAAAGATTATATTTTTCTGGCCGAAATTCATAAAGATTATTTACATAAGAGTGAAATTCATGACCTCTATATAATTTAGATTAAATTTATGGAAAAGTTTACGGAAAAGGAAAATTCAATGTTGACGGCGCTAGGATTACCAATGTCCAATGGGCTGGGCTATGGACAATGTGGCCCAAACCAGACGCATAATTCAAAAAAGGAGCACTAACGGCTAGTTCTTGTTTCTCTGGCCGATAACGTCCATTTCTTAACCAACGGTCATATTTTTCCCATCTCCTCTATAAACCCCACTATCTTCTCCCAAAATCGTCGTCCTTTTCCAATCTCGAGTTTTCTGCTTTTCTTCTCTCTTTGCGTTATTGCCAAGGCTTCAAGAGTTTGTGCAATCTTTGAATCAATATCAGGAATGGAAACCCCCTCATCGACAAGAAGAGTCACCAGATCTCAAGCCCTGGCTGCTCTCAGCAATAATTCTAACAGCACCAGCCACATCAACAACATCCCGGTTTCGAGTGAGTCACTTTCTTGACAACCAGATTTTTAGATCCTATTCTCTCTGTCAAGTTTTCATCGGTCTTATCAATTTATCATTGAAAGGCTGTGCTAACGTATTTTTCTTGTCTTTCAGGAAAGACGGAAGATTCTGAGAAGACACTGTCAAAATCAAGGCAAAGAAATGGGAAGCAGCAAGACCGATCGGTCCTCGTCGACATAACGAATGATTCTCCAATTGTGGGGCTTGCGGGCGGCAATCTCAAGACGCCATCTTCTTCCGTGGCGAAGCAGAAGGTCAAGAAGACACCGGGGTCCGGAGAGGCTCTGCTCAGGGGTCAGGTCAAGACCCTCTTGCAGAAGGTGGAAGAAGAAGCCGTGCTCTCGAGAATATCGCTGGAAAGCCGTCCCTTTCTTCAACTCGTGAACTCTCCCGCTGGAATAACTGCCCCAACTCCCGCTAATACCCCCCAAATCTCCAATCTTTCAGGAGAGGCTTCAATCACACCTCAGGCTATCGAAGAACATTCGGTTTCTCAGGTCCGGCTGATTCTCGGGAAACTAATTAAATTTGCAATGGAAATAAGATTGTTTGATGAAATTGTCTATTGGGAATCTTGTTTCATATTGGCAGGTGGTGAATCAAGGGAGCCCTGACTCTGAAAAGAACCAGATAACCAGGTCGCTGCTTATGGACTTTTCAGAAAAATCTGAAATTTCTGATCTATCAGAGTGCTCCTCTGAGCTGACATATCAGGAAGCAGTGGAAGGTAAAGACAAGCACGCCACCGAAGATGATGATGCATCTATCTGGTCAATACAGGTCAATGCAAGTACGCACGACGAGGACGAGGACGAAATAGCTGAAGAAGAGGAGGAAGAGTATTATGATGAGAATGAAGAAGAGGAAGATGAAGGATACGAAGACGGAGGATTCGTTGATGAACTGTGTGAAGGGTTGAACAAGATTAAGGTGAACGAAAGGGCAGCTCCCGAGTTCGAGGGAAAGCACACGAGGTTTGTTTACGACAGTGATGATGAGCTCGTGGGTGAAGAAGAAGTAGAACAAGAAAAGGAAGCAGCATCGGATAGCGTGCTTCGCCTGAAGGGCTTGCCAACCCCAAAAGGAAAGCACCTGCGCTTTCAAGAGGACGAAGCAGGACCGGAAGACAAAGCGGATCTCGCTTTGTGATCCATGTACTGAGGTTGTAATTCGTTGTCTTTCTTCTTGTGTGACCCGAGCTTTTGTCTCTGGAATTTACTTTTTTTTTTTTTTTTGTCTTTAATTCTTGGGAGCCTCCCAAGTTCTGATAGGGACCACAAATTGCGTGGTCCGAATATTCCAATAATTGAAATTTTTTTTAGTTATTGTATTCCATTGTCATTCTTTATTTTACTACATTTTCATTTTTTTATTGTGGGAATTTCACATCATAAAAAAGTTCATGATCTTATTTTTAAAACCATTTAAATGATGATAAAATCTTACACTATTAAATCAAATATCAAGAAAGGGCATGGGTTTTAATAATTGAGATGGGATTTTAATAAATAAAGCAACAACAACCTAAGAGTTGAAAACCTTCAAGAACCCGGGGATGGGGAAAGGAGGCAGGTCCCTGTCGAAAGGATACAACAAAAACTAACTAACGGAACCAATAGGCTTCCCTCAACCAACCTCAGGACAACAAAAGACCAGTGAAGTGGACGCCAAGTAAATTTAATTAAAGCTGCCTCATCTCCCACTAACTATATCCCCAAATCACTCTCCCCTGCTCTCTTCTATTATTTAATCAACTTCCCAAGGTCCCCTGTCTGTGATCATGGCGCCCTCTGAGATCGACACTCGAGCCCCCTTCAAGTCCGTCAAAGAAGCCGTTTCCTTGTTTGGAGAAAGAGTTTTGGTCGGCGAAATCTACGCTCCCAAGTTTCAACAGGTTCTCTCTCATCCCCCTTCCTCCTTTTCTTTCTGTCCCTCTGCTCCCCTCATTTGCCTTCATTTCATCTCATCTCACTAGATGCGAGCGGCCCAGACTGAAACCGGAAGTGTTCAGTCCAGGGAAGCCCAATTGAGGGCTGAGATCCAAGAAGCAAGACAGAGCCTGGAGAAAGCCAGAGAGGAGGCTACCTTCATGTCTCACTGCATCAAGTCCCTGAAAGAGGAGCTCCAGCACGCCAGGAAAGAATTGCAGGAGGTGAAGGGGAGGGAGTTGAGGTTACTGAAACAGAGGGACGATCCGGAGATTGAGGACCTCAAGTTCATTGCCAATGCGCCTGCCCGGGAGGACGCTGGGGACTTGCACAAGAAAAGATACGTGAAATTCGCTGCTCCTTCTGCTGCACTTCAACCCGTAGAGGCGCCTCCTTCTCCATCCAAGCCCAAAACGAGGCCGTCAATGCCGCTCGCTCGATGGCTTTTTGCTAGAACAAAACCCCGTCCATGAACTTCATGACTCTCGCGTCTTTATTACCTCTCATCCTTATTATGCCTGTCTTCGGGAGGCCTCCTCACTTTATCTCTCTTCTTCATATTCAAACGAAGATCAACATTTGTTTTTCTTTTCCTTAACCAATTTTGTATCTCGTTTTCACTTACGTTTGCAGAATGCAATAAATATCAGGCTCACAGCTTGTTCACTTACCTTTGATAACAGCACCACTGCACCCCCCCGCCCCACCCCAAAAAAAAGTTATGGATATGGTTATAGAGAGTTTGATGCATGCATGACGACTGCTGATATTAGACATTTCGTCCAACGGGCCTTAAAATGCTTCAAAGATTCACAGCTAAATCTCTCTGTCTCTGTCTCTGTCTCTCTCTCTCTCCCCCCTGTCCAACAAAAATAATGCAGTTGTTTAGGTTTTCCTCGTGCACACACCTACTTCTAGATTGCTAATTTGCTATTACTCCCAACTCCACATAACGCCGTCCTGAGCCACGAAAGTGCGACGTTTCATCAAACTAAAACGGGAAAATGTTTTTGTCACCAGAGAGAAACAAAGAAGGGGGAAAATAAAAGAAGGAAAATGTTCACCAACATCTCACGCACCACGTTGAGAGTTGAGACATTTTTCGTGTATAAAGTAAAAAGGAAGAAGATGTGATAGAATTGGAAATTAAATTGTCAAATATATGTTATTCTTTTGAATGATTATTTGTGTTTAACGCGTGAAAATTCAAAAGAAAAATTTGCATGCATGTACATATGGTTGTACCTAATACAAGCATTATCATATAAATTGTTGAAATTCATACTAATAATTTTAAATTTATACTTCATTTTAAATTATTAAAGGAGTGAATTTATCTAAATTATTAATATAAATTGTAACTATTCAAATAATATAATTACTTAATGCTTACAATCGCCAACTCTAAATATAATAAGGAATGAACGTAGAAAATCAAGAGTCAGAATGTTTCGAAGAATGGTCAAGTTGCCGGGGATAGAGATGTTGTTTGAAACTGTTTTTATTTTATTATTTTGAGAACTGGTGTTCTGTAAAACATATTTTGAGAATAAAAAATAATAAAAATATATATTTTTTTCATTCTCCCTTATTTTCTAGAATAATAATCACAAAATATTTAAAAATTATTTTTATTTTTTTGTTCTTCAGAATAATATTTTATTTTTTTATTTTTTAAAATATTTTTAAAAACATGTTATTAAATAAATTTTTTTACTATTTTATTTTGAAGAATAAAAAATTATTTTTAAAATAGATTTTCAGGTCCAAAATATTCGACAGTTATCGCGTGATTTGGGAGGCATGTTGAAGTGAGAACAGGAATTGGCATTAAAAGAACTGGGCCGAGGGAGTGGCCCATTTCATCATAGAGTAGGTACGGGCAGTAGAATAATTATGCAGCATTTACGAAGTTTGGCTCAAACTTCAAAATATATACTCTCATACCTGCAGACTTCCTGCCCTCAGTCTCCCTCCTCATCATACTTCTCTCAACTCCCTTCTTGCCTGTTCTTAGCCCTAGCATTTCCATTTCCAATGATCTCCTGCAATGCTCTCTCCCCCCCCCCCTTGGGATATCTCATCCTGTAAATTGTTACTTTTTCTATTTTGTAACATTAGTTTTCACGTGTAAATAGTTATGGACTCATATGAGCAGTCCTATTTTTCAAAAAAGTTATAGTCATTTCATTTCTTATGGTCTGTCGCTATCACCTACATCATCACCCTCGCTCCGCAGCACCATAAAATGCTCGCCGGAACAAACGCTTTACTCAAACAAAATCAATAACATAACTCATATTCATTCCATTTAAAAATATAAAATATTTTTAATTAAATTTTATTTTAATAAAATAATCATTTATTTCTAAACTAACTCTATTTTTTATATTTATTTTTATTAAATATTTTATAATAAATATAAAATTATTATCAATAATTTTTTTTTAAAAAATAATAATTACACTTTAAAAAATTTAAAGTATTTTATATTTTTAAAAAATATTTTTTAATAGATAAAGTATATATTAAAAACATTATCTTGAATTTTTTAATAACGTCTTTAGCAAGTGATTTGTTGTGCAATTTAAGTTTTAAGTTAGAGAATTTATTTTTTTAAATGAAATTCTTTATATCTAACCGTACAATTTTTAAAATAAATATTAAACAAGAAGCCAGCTTACCGTACAAGTTGTCAGGGTTTCTCCAGTGGTCCCTACCCAAATCTCTGTCTAGAGTTCAAAGCCACATAAATCTCTCTGCTCTTTTGGGGGAAAAGATGTTCGCAGCTGCCAGTAGAGAATCGGATCATTCACACGATCGAATAACTATAATTTATTTATTTGCGTTCTTTCTGGATTTTGATCTTGGGAAATGGCTAAAATGGTTCTAGCAATGGAGAGAGCGACGCATCTTCCATTCTAAGCCAAATATGACAATGAAGTTGAGAGAGATGGAGGGGTTTTAAAAATCTGAAAAATTGGGTTCTTTTTCTGCGGGGATGTATAAACTCGCATGATTATGCTCATTTTTTAAGGCAATCATTTCGATTAGCAAAATAATGACGGAATGTTTTTGGGAAACGGACAAAAGTAACAAACTTTAATATCCATTAAGCTCCCTGCGCGACACGTGTCGAGTCGGGAACAAGACTGTTAACATGGAACATGTTTCTTAAATGGTTCATGTGCTCGTTAATGGACCTTAACCAGTAATTCACATACAGAACCTGAATATAGGAACATAGCTAAGCCAAGCTAGCATCTCTAACTTAAGAAGTGGAACATGGAAAGTAATCGATGGTTCAAGTTGAGTCTGGAGATCTGCGGGTGTAGGAGTTGAGAGTGAGCTCTAGAGAAGTACGGTGAGAGCCATTGTTCTTGAAGCCATATTCATCGGCGTGATACCAACCACCGCCATAGTAAGCAGAATCAGACCTGAGGTTGCAGTAGCCGTGGATGTCCTCGCCGTGCATGGGGAACAGAGGGAGGGTTTCAATCTCAGGAGCTCCATCGTCTCCTTCTTGTTCTCCCTTCAGGGTTTCTTGATCGCCAGGCCTTACTTTGTCCAAGAAGTTAGTGTAGTTTGAGTACGGATCCATACCTACCCATCCCAAATTGTGGCTTATGGTGCCACTGCTTCCTCCTGCTGATATTGAGCAGTCCTGAGAAAAAAGAAGAAGAAAACAAGAATTAATTAAAAGCTCAAGGTCGACGAAATGAAGCTTTTGCCCCGTGAAACGTTTTAGTTCGCATTACAAGGTTCTTCCTTTTCTGGAAGTTTCAAGGAATCAATGAAGCCATCGTATTTGTGGTTAAATATTAGTCGTCGATATAGTGGGAGACTATCACCTTCTTGCACTCCCAAACCTCAAACCGATGCAACCTGTGATGGTTGCTTCCATTTCAATGCATCACTACAGTAGGTATACATACCCATTGAGCAGTTAAAAAAAAAAAAAAAAAACCTTCATCGTATGAATGAATCTTTCATAACCATATTTTCAGTCATATATATACAATACAACTTACCCTAAAACACTTCTCCATAGTCACAGATCCATACCCATAGTTCGCCATCTGGCCCAGAGTAACCATCCCAGCAGTAGAAGATGATGCAGAAGAAACGCCTATCGCACAGCAAAACATACGTAGAATGATATACAGAAGATGACGTTGAGCATATATATAAAAAAATATATATACAGGGAAACATGCAGAGAGAGATGGTTAGTTGATATTTATATATATAGTACCGTGAGATGGTGGCATGTTAGAATACTTGGAGTGAAGAATGGAATCGTGATCAGGCTTCCAATTAGCAGGTGGAGGAATGTTGGTAGTAGTAGAAGAAGGGGGTCTTTGCAAATGCATGGGACCGGGGAGATGGTCAGAGGTGGAAGTGAAGCGCTTCTTCTGGCGCTCACGAGCCTTGTGGTTCTGGAACCAGTAAAAGACGTTCTTGCCTTCAATCTTGCCGTACTGCCTCAGCCTTGCAGAGATCCTCTGAATCTGCTCTGCATTTGGGGACCTAACTCCATTGTTGTAATAAAGGTCCTTCAGTATCCTTATCTGGTCACTTGTGGGAGTCCACCTTGTACTGCTTTGCCTGCACAAATACCCTCCTTTTCCACTCCCCCCAGCATCCTCGTTTGCTGCTTGTTGCTGCTGAGGCTCCATACTGGATTCACTCGCAACAAAAATCAAAGACAACCAAACAAAACACAACAAAACAATTGTTGGATGGGGGAAGAGAGAGAGATAGAAGAGAAGGAGGGGTTGGTGTGTATGGAATGGAGGTAGGGAGGGGAGAGGAGGGGATGGGTTATAATAGAAGGCACATGGAGTGATGAAGAGAGAAAATCAAAGAAATATCTGAGAGAGAAGGACTGAAGTTGACAGACACGAGTTCATCGAAAAGGGAAGGGACAAAAGAGGGCTTACAAAAGTGAGGGGTATCAGTAGAATTTACTTGGATCAAAAGGTATCACCAGGTATATCAAAATAATGATGAAGCGCTTTTATTGCGCCGAGGGGTGAGGGGAAGAGAGAGAGAGATGAAAAACCCAAAAGAAAAAAATTGTGAGATGGTATATTCAATTTGATGGAAGGAAGAAAAAAAGTAGAGGGCTTATTCTGAATGAATGAATGAATGGCAATAGAATGATGCGAACTGAAGATTTGTGGAGTTCAATAGGGATCTTCTTTTGATGGAGATATGGCCCTCCGGCCTCACATATTTTTCTAAACTCTCATTAATTCGAATCAGGAGATACGAAGATATTCTTGTACTTGTCTGGGGGATGTCAAGGGCACAAATGTAATCCGAATTCTTCCTAAATTGACTCCATCCCTAGCTCATGGGTCCCAAGACCAATGATACCGCACACACGAGTCCAAGGTGCTTCCATTAGGGTTTGTGCATTTTGGTGAGCAGCCATGTGTATGTTTGGCTCGCATCTTGTATAGGAATTTCTGAAGTTTAGGGCCTTTTCAGCTTGTACTTGTGGGGCGGTGCGGGAATAATATAATGCCCGGGCTTACATATGCCGCGAGGGAAACACACTGCTCAACTGTGCGAGATGGTACGTACAGGCTACATAAGAGGTTTTCCAAATAAAAGAAAAGAAATAAAGAATAAATGATGATGACTTTGGCATTCAGTCTCTAGAAGTGAAGGGGAGAACTCGTAGGTGTATTAATCACCTGCACAAGCTTTCGACCAGAGCTGGGGCAACGTCCAAATATAGAAAATAAGGTCTTTTAAAAAAAAGAGAGAAAACAGAAACTGCAAGGCTCTCTTCTGTTCTCAGTTTTCACCCTTCTCGTCATAGTTTATCCGGCGAGATCAACTTATCGTAATTTCCTTCTGTTCTTGCCTTTTTTTCTGCATAAAAATGTCGTACAGAGTAAACTGAATTCACAACTATCTGGTATGTGTCCTCAAAAGCAAATATAATGGGAATTCTTATCAAACATTTGGGAGGTTCAAAAACATGCTACATTTTCCTACGTATTGTCATCATCGTAATAAAGTGCCTACGTTTATTTTATCCATGGAAAAAAATAAAAAGAAATACTAACAGAGGGACATTAGTTCTGATTGTATAAATCTTGCACGCAGGGACGCTCTTAGGAGCAGCTCATTTATTTAATTTCCCCAGGCTAGGCCTAAAATACGGTGAAGGTAAATGTATAGAATAGTACATGTGAGGCGTGAATCAGGGTAAAGCATTTGAGTTGCAAAAAGATATTAGGGAAATTAATGGAATATGACTGCAATGAAAGCGCAATGATATAAACGAAGGTTGGTGCCCTGGTGATGTGAATTAATAGAGAGGAGAGAAGAAAGAAGCGGGAGGAGGGGGCAGCAGCACGTAGAAACGTAGTCGTGAAAAGAAAAAGGAGGAAGCACGCGCCCCAAAAATTAAATGCTTGGCGGATGTCATGGCTCGTGGAGTTTTCCACTCTACGGTGTCTTGCCTGATCTCACCTCTTGAAAGCTTCATCATTTTTTGCCCTCTCCACACTCGCTCACTCCTCTGTCCGCACAAGTACTTGGAATTTCCTATATCCACTTTATACGTGTCCATGACGTCTCCTTTGAAGAGGAAATAAATGACCAGGAATAAAGTATTATATAACTGGATCATCTCACAAAATGAAAGCTCCTAGTTAATGAAGGTTATTGGTTATTATAAGTAGAAGGGGAGATTGAATGAAATGAATAAAGAGAATTTGAGGGGGAATAATGATTTCTTGTGTACGAGGGTAAAAAGTACGAGATATACATGAAAAAGAAGCAGTCAGGCGGGGTGGGGATGGATGGAACTATTCAATCTTTCCCCCTCCACACCATTCTGTTGCAACAGTCTCGTCCATTTGATACTCTCTCCTTCAACTTTCTTTATTGCATTTTAACTCTGATTTTGACAATTCCATCATCATCACATTTCCTTCTCATGCATTTACCCACACGCTCTCTCTCTCCCCCCCCCCTCCCCCCCCCCTACCATCTACGGCTATATATATATATATATATATGATAAATGATGAAAAGTAGTAAATTAGTCAGTCTCTTACCCAAAATGCTCAGCGGCTTACCTCAGTGAAGGAGAGAGAGCCCTAGAGAGATTGGCAGCCGCGGGGTACACACGCACTCCCCTAGTCTTACGGGTAATCATCCTCTTGCCCTCATTTTCCACTCCGTATCTCTAAATGATACATCACCAAGATCATTCCAATCTCTCTCTCTCTCTCTAGCCTTCTCTGTATCCTTGGTCTCGCTTTCTTTTTGCTTTCTTACTCCCTCGGTTCCAGATAGAGACTTTGCACCCATATAGAGTAAACCCTAGCCACACAACTCTCTCTCTCTCGGCTCTTCCAGTTTTTCATTATAATTATAACGTGTATTTATCGCAGCGTATATACAGGGCAGGAGCTCTGGAGCTGCCAGGGCCGATGGAGGTTACTTTCGTGAGTTTATTGTGATGCGTTTTATGATACCAAGAGGGAATGTAGAGTGGACCCGTATTATGATTCAATTTAAGTCTTTGGCTTATAACTCGGAATATATTAGCTGCTAGAGTAGGACCACGCCGACCACAGCTGTTTGGAAGCTCCGTTTCATTTGTGGCTCTAAATGCTAATCCGTCTTTTTGGAGGCAGCGAAAGATATCCCTGGCTGCATCCAAAAATATTAGAGCCAGCGAATTATTATGCGTGGGGAAAGCAAAACGGGAAAGAAGCAGCGTAAAAGAATAAAAGTGTGCGGCATATAGGAGAGTGGTGAGCTGAGAACTGAAGAGGCAGCATGGATTGCATATTCCAAAGCACAAACTTACAATTGCCTTACTCCACCTGGAAACCTATTGTGATTTCCTCAGAGACGTACTCAGTTTGATTTCCATTCAATCGCCATCCATTGAGCTTGTCCAATTATTTGTCGCAGGGAAATAAGTTAACTAAATGAGAGGTATTGTATATTGTATAGAAGTACATGATTTACGGGACAAATATATTTGTCGAGTTACATCTGAGTTTCGTTGATAGTTTTCAGTTGGGGCAGCAAAAGCAAGATATCATATCTGTTGGGAATGAATTTTTATTATATTTTAAAGTTTCTACTTGACGCATGCCTTGGCAGTGAAAATAAATATATATATATATATAAGTCACGTCTCTGAGTGATGTACTATATATTAGTATTATTCATCCTGCTGATATTTCTTCAAAAATTATTAATGACTGTTAATTAAAAAAAAATCTCAAAAACTCTGAAACTCACTTCAATTCAAGGGTACTGAATTGAAATTATAATCCAGAATAAAATAACGTGATTGTCCCTATTGAAAGAGAAAATAAAATAGCTTAATGTAAGTGAAGCAAAGTGGTGGAAGAGACCAAATTGCACAGGAAGGCTTTCTCCCTCTCATTCCCCCTCTCTTTTGCCTTTTCCAACATCATGAGCAGCTGGTAACTTCTCTAACTTATAATTCTCTTCTATAATGGACTTTGAAAATCCCCTCTGACTCTCTTGCATATATAATCGATTGAATGAGTTGCTTTGGGTCTTCATGCACTTGTCTTCTCTTCCCCTTGACCTGTCTTCTCTTCCCTCTGATAGTGAAAAATGATTTTGTTTACTGTCATTATCACCCCCTTTTCGCTATATTTGCTTTTGTTGTTCATATGCCCACTGTTGTTATAAATTTGCCTACTTTAGTTGTTAACTTGTAAAATTAATGATGGTATGAGTTGTAAATATGCCAAATGTTGCAATTCATTTGCAAACTGTTGTTATAAATTTACCTAACGTAGTTGTTTACATGTCCAATTATAAAGTGCTGCTTAGTAATTTAAATTTCAACGTGTACATGTACAAAGATGTATGATAAATAGGCAATATAATTCTTATGAGACCAACTATACTGCATCTTGTATTTAAGGGGAGAATTTAAAAGTGTAAGGGGAAATATGATTTATGAAGGCAGCATTATAGTTGGAAGATGGATAAGTAAAGTGATGACAAACAAAGGACTTAGAAATATGGTAGTAAATGAGCTATAGCCTAAATGTAAGGATTTTAACATGAAGTACAAAGTGATTCTAACTAGAGAGATATTGGATATCTTATAGATGATGCTAGAGTTGAACAACTAATTTTTGACAACAAAACCAATGTTCATGTGTATGTTGGAGAAACACCAAAATTTAACTTTCAAGAAGAGTAAATTGTCAATTAGCTTTTCCCTAATTTTAAAATTCAGATCAACAAACTTGTAAGTTGACATACATTAAGTTATTAATTTTCCTTCTTACACTTGTTAATGTAACATACTAAAGTTGTTAAGAATTGTGGACATCAAACACTCCTTCTCCCTTACATAGTGTGCCACTAGGTTTAGGCATTTAAAGCATACAAAGATCTTGCAATGTAGAAAGTTTTGCTAAACAGTTTGCCAACACCAATCCTCACATTGGTTGATTTATGTAAAGGGATTTACTGTATAAGGTTGCTTTTTGCAAAAAGGGTTTATTGATACGTAGGGTTGCACAATGAGTGGGATGGGCTGGCCTGAAGGGTAGCTTGTAGCCTGTCACGTTATGTACAAAATTGATTGGGTCATCTCGTACTCATATGTGGCTCTTTTCATGCCTGTACAAGTATGGACTGGTTGAGCTAGCTTACCCATTTTGTGTATGCCCAAATAAAAAATTTAAAAGTATAACATATCCTAGATAAAATTAAAAAAAACAAGAAAGAAAAAAAAATCTAAGAATCAAAATAAAAACCAACTACAAAAAACTAACATTAAATAGTCAGAGGTAAAATAAAAAAATGAAAAACATAAACAGTATAGCATATTCCTAATAAAATCAAAAACTAATAAGATCACAAAACATTCTTATGAATGTAAGAAACATCAATAAATTGACAAGGAAAAAAGGAAAGAAGATGATGAAAAGAAAGTTAAAAAGACGAAGAAGGCAAAATCTTGATCTCCAATCTTGAATAGGAGTATAAAAAAAAAGCAAAGAAGAAGAAGAAGTCATAAGTTAGCGAAAGTATACTCCACTCCTTCTCTCTACATTCTTCCTCTCTCTCTCTCTCCCCCTCTCCCCTCCATTTCTCCTCTGTCTTCCATCCAAATTCTAGATTTGAAATTGCTATTAGATTCCTCTCATTTTTCGCTGCACGACCTTCTAAATTTCATCTTCAATCTCTTCCATTTATTCCGTGTGATCTTATCAGGTAACCTCTACCCATAAGCTGTCAAATTGCAGCGGGGGTGAGGTCCACTTCACTGGCAGTCATGGTCATGATCACAAAAGGTGGAGTCATAGAGAACAAGACATGGTCACGACTACAGAGTATAAACAAGTATGAGATGACGAGGGTAGCACGAGCACGATGAAGCAGGTAGACAAGAGCAAGAGTGAATTCAATGTGGGACAAGGAGACGAGATCGACTGGGACTAAGAGACAAGATTGCAAGCACCAAGTGGCTAAGGAGTAATTGAGAAGAGAAAGGGTGGTTGAGTAAGACACTTCAAGGGTTTTTCTCTTTTGTTTGCTTGTCCCTCCCTTGATAAATGCAACGTTCAAACTTCAGTTCCATATTTTTTTTATTTTTTAGTATTAATTTATAAATGTGAAGGGATGAGCAGCCCAAGAGTTAACTTGTAACCTATCCCATCTACTTACGTTAAAATTGGGTTGGCCCGTAAATTTAGCCTGCTTATATTTTTTTAATGGGTAGGTTTTAGCTTGCCCTTTTTAATTAGGTCTAGGCGAGTTTGGTAGGTCATAAGTTGTTTACTCACCACTGCTGATATGGTTGATCTTTATATATAGGGTTATATGGTATGGCATGCCTTTTGCAAAGTGGTTTATTTATACAAGAAAAGATTTTATGTGGATACTTGTTCACAAATTAGACAACATACCTAAATGAAATCATTTGACTTTCATGTAACTGATAGTTTATTAATACAAGTTTTTCATTTTCTTACATAATATTGTTCATCTCCATGCAAGATGATGTTAATTGCCTTACCTTCATTATTTGTTCCATGACTTAATGTTTATTTTATTCTATTTAAATCATGTTAAGGCGAGTTATTCATTTGCATAATACTTTTATTCATTTCCTTACGAATCATTGTTCATCAATTTATTAGAGTTGTTTATAATGTTACTTTCACTTGATTTTATTTCAAATGTTGCTCTCATATTAAAAAGAGTTGTTCATGTGCATATGTACTATTATTCATTTCCCTATGAATTGTTGTTCATTAGTCTATTAGAGTTATTTATAATGTTACTTTCACTACCAAATGTTGTTTTCATGTTAAGATAAGTTGTCCATTTGCATATGCACCGTTGTTCATTTCTCTATGAACTGTTATTCATTGGCCTATTGAAGTTGTTTATAACATTACTTTCACTTGATTTTATTCCAAACGTTGCTTCTATGTTAAGATGAGTTGTTCATTTATGTACGTACCATTCTTTATTTCCCTACAAATTGTTGTTCATTGGTATACAGGAGTTGTTTATAATGTTACTTTCACTTAATCTTATTCCAAGTGTTGCTTTTATGTTAAGACGGGTTGTTCATTTGCATACATACTGTTGTTGATTTCCCTACAAGTTATTGTTCATTGGCCTACTAAAGTTGTTTATAATATTACTTTCAGTTGATTTTATTCCAAGTGTTGATCATGTTAAGACGAGTTGTTCATTTGCTCACGTACTGTTGTTCATTTCTCTACAAATTATTGTCATTTTCTATAAACTGTTGTTTATTGGCCTACTAAAATTGTTTATAATATTGTTCTAACTTGATTTTATTTTAAGCATTGCTTTTACGTTAAGACAGGTTATTCATTTGCCTACGTATTGTTGCTTATTTCTCTATGAATTGTTATACATTGGTCTAGTGGAGTTGTTTATAGCATTACTTTAACTTAATTCTATTCTAGATGTTTACTTTTGTGTTAATTAGACAAGTTGTTCACTTATGTAATGTTGTCTATTTTCCTACTAACTACTACTTTATTTTATTAACTTATGATAGGGTTTTGTCATTTTCCACAGCATTTTAATTTCATTTTAGTACCCTTGGATTGAAGTGAATTTTCAAAGTTTCTGGAATTCTTTTTTATTAACTATGGTCAATGGGTCTTAAATGAAATTTTTCCTTAATGATTTTTATAGAAACAAGAAAAAAGAAGCCAATAAAGAGATTGCTTGACTCTGGTCTAAAAAGGGATAATAGAAATGAAGAACCACTAAAATGATCAGAATAAATTGAATACTTGTTAAAACTTGAAGCTTCACTTGTCAATTGTTAATGCTTATTTGTTAGATGTTGATATTATATCATTTCAAAGGTCCTCCAATGATATTCTCCCTAAAAAAACAGAACTGGCATATATATAATCTTGTCTTGTCCAGATTATTAATTAATCATAGCTAGCATAAATGCAGAAGCTTTTGTCAAAAGAAGCTCTTATCCTGATCCAATATAGATGGCTTGTTCTTCAAAATTAGTAGTTTAACTTGATTTTATACCCGTGCAATGCGCATAATATTAACTTTTAGTTGTAATATAAAGGAATGGAGAGCAGGAGGGGATAAACGATTTTAATGAGTTTGATTTCTTAAAATGAGTGGAAGATTAAATTTTCAATATAGATAAAATGCAAAGGAAATAAGTAAATAAAATTACTTACAAAATTTAAACCACACTTATCTATATAATTAGAAAAATTACTCAATACCCTGCATTTTAAATTAAATAAGGTTTTTACAAATTGTCATATATTGTGATTTAGAAAAAAAATATTTTTTAATATTGGTTTCATAGACATTACTCATTTTTTCCATTATGAGCCCATACCCACCTTGTTATAAAGCGTTACAATCCTTTATTTTCATTGAATATAGAAAAAAAAAAGAGGTCGGATGGTTCGATGCAAAATACAATAGAGGGAGGGATTTTTTTAACCGAGTGATGAAGTTAATGTAAAATACATCTTTCAAAAGTATTGGTAAAGTTAAAAAAAAAAAAACCTGAAACAAACTTGAAAATTAAGAAAATTGTTGATATTCGTCCCTATTAGGCGAGACAGCCAGGCATGGGAGGGAGCCCAACCTAATTGACCCAACAAAAGTTAACCAGTGCGGTCTTGTTTGGTTAATTTTCTAGCGCGCGCGTATTCTTACTTGTAAAAAATTTGGCACACTCGATCGTACTTGAATAATGCTTTTAAAATTATACAGGAAGTGACTAATATTTGCAGTTTGAAAATTGGAATGCGCGATTCCAATCAGCAAAAGCGGAGCATCTGAGCTTTTTTTTTTTTTTTTTTTCTCTGTTTTATTTTTTTATTTTAAAAAGAAACAAGAAAGCAGAGTCGGGCCCCCTGAAGATTTGATTTCAGATTGATGAAAACCTTGAGCAGTCTAGTCAGGCATCTCGCAGAGCTGAAAATTCTAGATATCTGTTATTCATCTTGTCCTCATCCGTTGTTGATTCAATTGTTCTTTCCTTCATCCCCATTAGTATTTTTTTAAAAAACCATATTCAATAAAATTCGATAATTAGATGGCGTCGTTTAGTTTTCTTTTTTTAGGAAATATCAAATCAGAGGTTATTTAGGGAGATAATATAAAGGAAAATGATAAATAAGTTTCAAAATAATTAATTAATTAATTTAAATTTAATCTTAATTTTTAAACTTCAAGAACTTAAAAGTTTGATTTTTAAATTTTACAACTTCATTATAATAATTTTACAATTTGTGTTCTAAATTTTAGTAGAAAAATAAATTTATTTATTTTTTAATTATGTTAAAATATAAAAAATAAGTTGTAAATTTATCATAATAAAATTGTAAAATTGAGAGTTATAATTATAAACTTATAGAGTTTAACACTATTAATTCTTTTAAAAAAGGGCTCTCTTTTATCATTCTCCCAAAATATAAATGCCTCAAGCAAAAGATATTGTACCAAGAAACATAGAGGACGTGCTCACAGCAAGAACCATAAAGTTAGAAACCCATACATGTGAGTACTGAGTGGGATATGTGAAGTGATTTAGAAATATAAGAAGAAATTAGCTCAATGATCAAACGACGAGGGTGAGACGGCGCGTGAATAAAAATTAACATTTAAAAATATATACATGCGTGTGGGCGTGTGAGGCAGCAACGAAGCCTGCGCGTGTTGCAGATTGATTTCGTTTTGTCTTGGGCCGTAAAAATTGAGATTTAAACATATAAGACATGCGTTTGGGCCTGTGAGACCGCAATGAAGCCCGAGCATGTTGTAGATTGATTTTCCAGCCTGAGCCCAAACAAAAGTAGCCCTGAGATGAGATGAAACAACAGGTTGTGAAATTCCAAAACAACCCAAAGGTAGGATAAGAAAGAAGAGACGAGCAAAGTCCAACCACTCGTTCATCTGCTTCACCATTTCCTACCATCCCATGAAGCCATGGACATGTCACTCGAGCACCGGCTCCATCTCTTCAATCTCACCCTTCCTCACCATCCTATCGACGCCCAAGCACTCTGGCGCCTTCTTCCCTCCGCGACGACGTTTGCTCAAACTCAATCCCATCGCTTGTAGTGCCCCTGATAGTGGCGACACAAGCGTTAACGATGGTGGTAACGGCGTGCCGGACTCGGTTCAGTCACCGACCATGCCACCGCCAGGAGCTGTGGAAGTACGCTTCAGAAGAAGGTCAAGAAGGCAGGCCAGGCAAGAGAGGGGTGACGGAGCCGCCTCGAACGCCGCGCAATCTGCCAAGGCGAAGGTTTCAGGGAGTAACCCAAAGAAGTGGGAGGACATGAGCTTGACAGAGAAGGCAATTGAGTCGTACATGGGAGAGAAGGGTTTACTGTTTTGGCTCAATAAGTTTGCATACGCTTCCATCTTCATAATGATAGGGGCTTGGATTTTGTTCAGGTTTGTGGGGCCGTCCCTTAATCTTTACCAACTGGATTCTCCTCCGCTCTCCCCTTCTTCTATATTCAAGGGATCTTCGTGATCTCTCAAGAGTTGTGACTTCTCAGTACTGCTTCCTCGGACGAACATATTGGTTTGCTTTTCATCTTGATGCACATAACAAGATTATGTTACTCTTCACAGAAGTAGAAGTACAATGATCAGGAGCTCATGATCAAATATTCCTTTTTCTCTGCATGATTAAAGTCGCATAGAATATATGATTTTCATGTCCAAATATCCTATTCTTTAATCCGCGGCCCATAACAAATGAAGAATGGAAGATAACCTATAGCTTCAATAGCCCAACCAAAATCTTGTTTATAGTAAATGGAAAATAAATGTAGCGAGTGTACATCTTTCAAAGACTTAAAAACAATTCAATGCTGGAAATCCAATATTGTTCCACCACAACACTGACTGCTTGCATGGGTGCCTTGCGGTGAGTTTGACAACTGGAAATAAAGGTCAATCTCTGTTCAGTTCAATTTTGATTACCGACTATAATACAATATAACCAATCCCATCCACCCAAGTCTGATAAGCCTGCAAAAGAAAAGTTCTGAGTTCAAAGAGCCATCTCTTAATGAGCTTAATGACAGGAGGAGGGAAATCTTAAATTCATATACATATACATAGAGCCAATTAAATACGTCATCCACTAGCATCATGGCATCAGCCTTATTGTCAAATTAAAGAACAACCTGTAAAGGCTGTAATCCGAAAAGATAATTGTCCTTCCTGCAATCTGTATACATCAAATCTCCCAGAAGCGTCAGTAATGTTAAGAACACGGCCAGAACAAAAGGATGCCGTGCATATGTTGACCGTCATGTCGAACGCCCAACAAATGCACAAACAAAAAGCAAAAAGATGTCAAACAAGTTTTTGACCTGGAATCTCAAACAAGTTGACAGCAAGCCCTTCTTCTCGATTTGTCACATGATATCAAATATCAAACAGCCATACTAATACAGCGCATTGTTTTATTGCTGATGGAAAAGGCCAGCAATTTATGAAAAGCGCATGTCTTAATGCTTGGTGGCATGCTTAGAACTGTCTTGAAGAGTTACAAGGTTCTAAAGCAAAATTAAACAGCAGCAGAAAATTAATGAGCTGAGCGAGATAACTTTGTTGTAGTGATATACTGTATAGTACAATAAGAGAAGGGGGAAAGTATGCCGAATACGACTCTAGAATTTAATATCACTGTGGGCAAGAGAAATGGTTGCCGAACAGCTTGCCAGCTTAAAGCAAACTATCTGAATCAAGCCAAGCTTTAACCGTGCAAATCTTTGTCTCGAAACTCATAGCATGCAACTAACTAGCATCTATCCATGTTGTAAAACAGCGCTCAGTTGTTAGTTCCAAGCTAATAAATGTTCCGGATGTAAGCCACGGTGAAATTATGAAAGAGACCGTTCTCATATGGTCATATGATACACCACGAGATGACTAAAGGCCAATATATTCCAACTCCTTTCCGCATAGTTCACACCAAAAAGGAGGAGGTTACACAAACAGATATCTAATGGCCCTACAACCACCCCTAAACCTCAAAGGAAAAACCATACTTTAAATAGGAACAAGAAAGATGGCTAGTATGAAGGCCATCTCATAAACAAGGAATGAATGCTGACTCATGAACCTTAGCATACATGCCAAATTTATCAAAGGCCTGCCAACTTTAAGTCACAAGCACTACATCAACTCATCCAAGGACGGATCCAGAACCCATTCAAAATTTGAAGGGGGGGGGGAATGCAAGACTATATTATAATGGGGGACCAAAGTTAATATTAGCATTTTTAACGAACAAAATCAATGCAAATTAAACCCAACTTTTGTACCGGGGGGCACCCCTGCTTGTCCCCCCTAAATCCGTCACTGAACTCATCATTTAAATTTACTCTCTGGGATCCCATATAAGCAGACCACTGCATACAAATGACTAGCACACTAAAAAAATTTCATAGAACTGGAAAAAGAAGGGGTCAGAGTGGAGGGAGATTCAAAACCCTGGAAATTCAAAGTCAAGTATAAGAGAAACGTCGAAACAGTGAGGGGAAAGTAAACAGCGAGGGCCTAATTTGTGCTTGTTCGATCTCCATTCTGTAGTGTCAACTGGGGCAATTTTTTCTTTTCTTTTGTTTTTTTTTTTTCGGTTGGGGGGGGGGGGGCGGTTGGTTAGACTCCCGACCAGAGCAACAGAAGGCGGGATTGCTTCATAAAATGATCGCAGAAGCAGAACCGCATAAAGGCATGGTTTCAGTTATTAATATCAAAGCCACAGCAATCCCAGTCCTTCTTCTCATTGATCCGTATCAATACGACACGCTTTCAGAATAAACGAAGCGTACGGAGCGAGGGAGGGAAGCAATAAAAATGAGGGCATTTGGCTTTGGCATTTTGGGAAGTCAGGGTGGAGAACGCGGCAAAACGGATATGTTATTCTCTTCCGCCAAAATCCCTCCGCTGCGGCTGCAATGGCCATTCTTGTCAGTTACATTACATGTTTGGTAGATTTATAATTTAGTTGCTATACTTTCTCCACCTAACCTATGATATTTTACTTGTTCTATTCTTTTTTAAAGTTTCATAGTCTTCCAAAAAAAAAAAAACAATGTCATCGTATCATAACCATTAAATAAAAAATTCGTAGAAATTTGAGAAATGAGTTAAAAAGATTCCAGTTTTTATATTGAATGTTTTTTTCAACCGCTAACGTTTTATTAAGATGATAATTTTCGTTTCTTCTTCACTGACTAGAGAAGAGTTTTTTCTACCGCTACTAGCCAGAGAAGAGTTTTGATGTACATGGTTTTAGTTTTCCATTTCCCATGTCATTGCTTATATAGTACAAATTGCATTGTTCATGAATCATATAATATATTGAATTAAGACTCTATATTATAGGACAATTATCTAAAAATAAATCTTGAAGGACACAACTTATTTTAAATTTCATTTATGTAATACACGATATCCTTATTTATTATGAGTCCAAATTAAATTATGAGTTGAACCTTGAATTTTTCAAACAAAATATCACAGGGAAGTTCTAAATATTAAGTCATGAGTTTAAAAAAAAAAAAAAGGTTTATGGGCAGCACTCTAATCCCCTCTTCCCCTTATTCCACCCAAAAAATATAAAGGAAAATCTTACTATCATTGGAATATCAATGGATGACTAACATGTTTTTTAAATTAATGGAAACAATTTCAGACCTTCTCAACTCGTCTTACATTTGACTGAATCTAGAGATAATATTTTTAAATATAACTGATAATAAAGAAAATAAATTTATTATTTAAATGTTACTTCTCCAATTATTTTTATAAATTATTTCTATTAATTTTGTTAATATCAATGCAAAAAATATATATAAAGAATGAAAGTGTGTAAAATTTTAAATATATCTTTATATAATAAATCTAAAAAATAATACCATGTTATTTTTTTTGTGAAAGATAATTTTAAAAATACTTGTTAAATATTATATAAAAAGCATCACTTTGACTTATAAATGAAATTAATTTTTTTTAAATGTGATTTATAAGTAAAATTAAAGGATTATAAATTAAAATTTTTAAATTTGGAATGTTAAGATTCCTTGACAAGGATGATATCGAAAAGAGAACGGAAGCAATTGAATTGTTGGAAGTAATTACCATGTTTTGAAGTCAAAGTTAACGTAAAAGACGAATTGATATACAAAATTGATGGCAAAGGCATTGTGTATGGCAATATCTGTCTATATATTCTCAATAATCATCGCATATGGGCACTTCTAATTTAAAAACCGGGAAACGGAGATTAGAGAGAGAGAGAGAGAGAGAGAGGGAGAGGTAAAAACTGAAAAGCCAAAAGGGGAGGGGGGGCAAGGAAGCACCTACTGGTCATCTTCAGATTTTTGGTTCAGATTGCCTTCTTTTTTCCACAAGAAAGAAGAAAAGCGTGCCGCTTGGAAGAGCACGATCCAACTCCGACCAGGACGATCCTCGCTTCTCATCCAAGCACGCCCCCTATCTCCCTTCCTCCCATTCTCTCTTCTTCAATCCCATTGGTACGCTGCCCCTTGCAAGATTCCCTCTCAATTCTCTCTGCTTCCCCCCGCCTTCCTTGTTTTAGCGTTCTCAGCCTGCCATATCATTTTTTAGCTACTCTTGATGGGTATTTTAATTTCTGATCTCTCCGTTTCATTTTTCTGTATTAGGGTTCAATTTCATTTGTTTATATCACTTTGAAGCAGCGAAGACCCAAATTCGTGGTATCTCAGTTTCTCCTTTTCCTGTCAATGTGGTTATTAGGGTTTTTAGTTTTTTATTTTATGTTCTGTGAGTTCATTGTATTGAGATAACTTGATTGATGTATTGCTTTGATGATGGGTGCTGTTTGGAATGCTTTGAGGGAACTCTGAACTGTAACAGCTTCAAATTTTAGCTTCTTTCCATAGGAAAAAAATGGTTCTATCAATGAAAAATACTTCGATGTCAAATGTGTTTTCATGTTATGCTTTGTATTATTAGAAACGAAGTAATTTTTGGCAACAAAGGCGCAGCTACACAGCAGTTACTCCGTGGCTTTACTTTGCCCAGTGACATCTAGTTTCACCAATAGGTGTACTCGGATATACTTGTGCTAGCGAACATCATAAAGTTCAGTATCTGAAGGACTATTATAGTATATGTGCTGTATGGTGAAGACATTATGAAGTGATAACTGGACAAATGATGGATACAGACGTCCTGCCAATTTGATTTGAAGTCTATTGAACATTTAATGTCTTATATCGATTAAGTTCTTTTCCAGAGTTCGTATATAGTTTGATGGTGTAAATTTTCTGAAGCTTCAAAACAGCAGCATGTACGCTTGATACACTTTTGCTTTAGACTATCTGAAGTGTATTGATGAGTTTGATACGGTTAAATTGCATGTATAATTAAAGTTTAGAATAATATAGATATGCCATAGGCTGTGCTTTGATTTGTTTTATTCCAATATTTGTTCATCATATTGCATTGCTTTCTTTTAGTCCTGGAACTGTTTAATACTTATGCTATGCATGTCTTCCTTTGTGTTTCGTGGTAATCTGTCATACATCATTTGTCTTGGTATCATTGTAAATTTATAACATCTTTTCACGCCATAGATTCTTTAGGCTTATCTTTGTGCTGATACACTTACTTCATGACTAGAACTATTTTTATCATGACTATTTAAAATGTCAAGTTGTCATATTTCTATCCAACTTAAGACAGGGCATGGCAGCAAATGAAGATATTGACATGCCAGCTTCGAAGCCTGAGCCAAGCCAAACTGATGAATTGTGGAAGCAGGAGGTGGAAAGAAACCAATCTCAGCTGGATGTCCTGCGAGAAAAAGTTATGGAGGTCAAGGCTTGCATACAGGGTTCAGAGGAAGATGCAAAAAAGGAGTTAGATGTTCTGTGGCGGAGAGTCAAAACTACTGCTACATTATTGACCTATTTAAAATCCAAGGCTAGAATCATGGCTGTTCCTCATTTAGCCCACACATCTTGTGGCATCAAACAACTAGAGGGGGTAGGGCTTGTGGACAAAAATGGGATACCATTATCAGGTTGGTCTAGGAATGTTGATGTTTCTTCATTTGACAGTCCAGAAGAAGAATCTTGGATAGTAATGAACAGGCAGCATGGTTCAGTGGATGAACGAGATGCAGCTTATGTAGGTGAAATACTTAAGTCCGTTCAGATGGTTGCAGATGTGATGGAAACCCTTGTTAAAAGGGTTTTGTTGGCGGAATCTGAAACTGCAATTGAGAAGGAAAAAGTAACCTTAGGTCACGAGGAAATTAAGAGGAAGTCTGCCCAGTTAGAGAGTATGTCTATGAAATTAGAGGAGATGGAACGATTTGCTGTGGGAACAAATAGTATTTTGAATGAAATGCGGCAAAGGGTTGAGGATTTGGTGGAAGAAACCACCAGACAGAGACAGCGAGCTGCTGAAAATGAGCAGGAGCTCAGCAGAGTGAAACGAGACTTTGAATCTCTGAAATCATATGTCAGCAGTTTAATATCTGTAAGAGAAACCTTACTTTCTTCAGAAAAGCAATTTCAAACTATTGAGAGGCTGTTTGAACGGTGAGTATCTATGTGCTGTTTACAATATGCTTTCATTCTATGCCTTTTCAAGTGTTTGATCTGCATCAACTATTGATGCCAGAGTAAACTTCTTGCTTGATTTCTGTGGCTAACTATTGTTTGCTTGACAGCATGTCCATGTTTTTGGACTAATTGCTTAAATTTTGTTAAATTGTTTATTCTTTTGGCAAAACTTTCGGAGCATCACAGGTTGTTTAGTTAGAAAATGGGAACTCCTCTGTGCAATGTTCATTGTATCTTCATAATCATTATTTAACTATGTATATATATTTTTCATAAGTAGGGACACAGGAGTCATTTTCTACCTTCAAGGTTACTTTTCTTGTTCTATTTTTCATTCCATTTATTTTCAATTTGTTTAACAAGAGATCGTTTGTGATGGAGTGAGAAACATTGTTATATGTGCTGTGTTTATTGCTTTTATTTGAAGATCTCATCCTCCAATGAGCTATAATGTTCCTGTTGCATTTTGCTGAATGATGCAATTTTTGAGTGCAACATATGAACATCCTACAGGATTTGCTATGTTTATTTGTAGATATATGATATATCAGCTTCTAGGAACTTTCCATCTTTGTCCTTGTACTTAGGCATGTCTACCATGTTTGACTTTGGATTAATTTAGCTTGCATTTGTCCTGCTTCTTACTGCCTGCAGTAGCAACTGAAAACATGGGTTCTTAACTTTTCGTTGGTAATATATGATATATGGAATTTATTCTTGTATGATACAAAATGTTTCAATATGTTGATCCATGCATTTGCAATGTTAGTATCGTGCCTTTGAACGTGAGTCCTTTGTTCAAGCTGCTTTTCATGGATTCTTTAAATAATTTCGTTCTTCAAAGTTGGTTGAATTTGTTGGCGTTTCCTGGGGTTTTTCAAATGGAAACAAGTTCTGGTCACAAAGGCACAATTGATTTTTAAAAATACATTCAGTGGTTACTATCTCAGTTTAAAACGTTAATTTAAGCTCTCATGTCAGGTTAAAGCTTGTTAGTTGTTACTATGTCAGTTCATTAACTGATCTGTTCTCATATACAAATTTGGTTTCGCGCCTCTTGCATGAAGTTCTGTTTTATCTAGATATGTATTGTCTTACTGCTTGGCGTTGCTCTGGATCAGGCTAGTTGAAAAGACTACACAACTGGAGGGTGAGAAAATGCAAAAAGAGGCCGAAGTACAGAAACTCATGGAGGAGAATGTGAGGTTGAATTCTCTGCTTGACAAGAAAGAGGCTCAACTTCTGGCATTGAATGAACAATGCAAGGTAATGGCATTGAGCGCTTCAAACTTGTAGATGCTGTTGTACCTTACAGGTTGTTTGCATGATATGCGCCTCCGGCTTATCGCGGAAGGCATCCAAGGGGAGCTTCACTGGGTATTGCACTTATCAACTTGATTGAAGCCCTCTCGTCCTTAAGGAGCAGCAAGGAAGGACTACTTTCATCACTTGTGCCTTTGTTTCACTCTCCGGTGCCATGATTGTGCCTTTTGTTGAAATTAATCGTCAAAGACAATTTGTACTTGAAGTGGAAACTGGGTTTGCTCTTTTATAAGGGGAAAAAAGATTTAAGTTGTCAATATTTGCAGCAAATGTTGAAGACCACATCATAGATCGCGGTCATGTTGATATAATTGTGAGTCATGAGTGAACCAACAATCTTGTTTCAGGTTCAAAAAAGGAATCGTTGGGTTCTAATTTTAACTGACATTTAAAAGTGAAATTCTTATTTTGCATTGGTCTTCTAGAAGAATGAGTTGAAGGTGTTAAATTTAACAAGCTTATAATATTACTTTTTTGTTATAATTTAAAATCAAAATTGTGCTCATCCAGTTATACCTTGTAGCATCAAATTTTGAATCAGGAGAGTTCTCAATGTTTGTGAATCATTGCGCTGCAAAAGTTGTCTTTAGAGAAGGAACCAAGGAAGCTATTCATTTGGGGTAACGTAAATGGAAGGGTGGTGTTTTTGGTTTTTCTTTTGTTTTTTTTTTTTGTTTTTTGTTTTTTTGAGGGGGCGGGGGGCGGTGGGGACGCAACTTATCTGATGTGAATGATAAATTTAACACGTAAAGTTAAAGTATTTGAGAAATATGTATTTTTTGTCAGATTTGGGAAATATATAAACAAATATTGAAGATGAGATTAATGTTGATGCCAACATTTCAAACACAAGCATTTGTCCCGTTCATTTCTAACAAGGGTGTGTTTTCCAATTTTCTTGACCAAGATAAATATAATTTAGGGTTAACAATTAGAGTTGGCTCTTAAAGAGTTAGGATCTAAAAGGATTGAATAAGAAATTGCTTTAGGATTCTTAATTTTGAAGCTTATCCATAGCCTTTAAAGTTGTAGGGTTATGGGCTTCAGCTCTAATATGTTTTTTTAATTTAAAAAGCTTAATAAATACACTTATAATTCTAAAAAAAAGACATTAGACATAAAATTAAATCTAAAAAATAAATTTAAGTAAATTCATAACAAATCTATAAAGTTTAAACATTTAAATTCAATATCATAGCTACATTATCAAAATTGTGCGATCAATTATGAGTATAAACAATAGGCAACATTATTTAAAAGAAAAGAACTTTAATATTTTATCAAAATATATGAACCAATACTAAAAACTAATTCATTAGCCATAGTAATAATTAAAATATTAAAAATATCAATAATTATCATTGAAAGAATTGAAAATTGATGTCGATTGTTCTTTTACTAGTTCAATATCAAATTATGAGACTTGATATTGATTTACCCAAATAATTCTTTACTTCAAACTTATCCATAAAAAATCATACATACTCATAATTATTTTGATAATCCTACACTATAATTTGTAAAAGATTAAAAAAATATTACTTAAATGCTAATAAAATAAAATAAGATTAGAAAATAATAATTTTAATTGACAAAGCATTTAAAATATACATAAAATGTATCATCAAAAGTGATTGTAGTTATTGATAAGAGACTTGAAGTATGATAAACACTTAATGTTTTAAAAAAAATAAATAATCACACCTAAGACCAGTTCTTTTCAAACTCAAAATTTATTTATACCCTCTAATTTAATAGCACAATCTTAATTATTTTAGGATGTAAACGGACTAGTTTGATAGATTCAGCTTTTTTTGCCAACTCTGATCTCATCCCCTCAATTCTCATGAGTCATGGTAGAACCACGGCCCCAGCCAAAAATGTTTTTTGTCATCTTGCTTTCTTTCTCCATATGTAAGATGAGGTTTTGTCGAAGTCTTCAAGGGTATTTTGACTTGACAACGAAGTTTACACACGCCTCATTCCCTGATCCCAAATGCCTAGTGTCTACTGTAATAATGTAATCAGAACAATACTCAATCTTAGAACTGGACAATTATTTTTGAGAATCTTATTAATTTGGATGAGAAAGCTGCCTCTCAATTTTGAATTATTAATATTGCAAGCTTGCAATGACACATCAAGATTCAAGAGCATAAAATTATGAATTAAAAAGACAAAAATATCTTGAAATTTTTTCTTCAAGAGCACTTTTTTTTTTAATTATTAATATTGCAAGCTTGCAATGACTCACCAAGATTTAAGAGCATAAAAATTATATATTGTAAAAAAAATTATATTGTAAAAGAGATTATATTTAAGAGCATAAGAATAAATTATATTCATATAATTAATATATTGTTAAAAAAAAGAGAGATTACCTTGTACTGCATACTCGATCTCATTAAAATTTTAAGTATGAAAAACTTATAGTTTTTAGGAAAATATAAATTTTGATCCCTATACTTTGCTTGTATTTTGTTATTATTCCCTATATTTTTTTAATATTTTTGATCTCTGTATTTTTATTTTTTATTATTTAGGTCCCTCCATGAATAAAATATTAAAACCTTGAAAGGACTTAAAATAATGAAAAAATAAAAGTACAAGAACCAAAAATACTAAAAAAAAGTGTAGGAATTAATAGCAAAACACGAATAAAGTATAGAGACTTGAAATTATGTTTTTCCTACTTTTTAAAAGGAATTGCAAATATTGAAATTATAATTAATATAATTTCTGTTAACATAATTAATATATTTAATATATATATTTAATATACATACATACATACATACATAGATAGATATATATATATATATATATATAACTTATTCGGGGCAAGACGAGATGTCTTCAAAGTAATCCTTTATTTTATCTCGTCCCACAAAACCTGTCTTGCTTTTTTTAGGTCAGAAAAGATTCATTTTGATATGATCGAGATAAAATCAGATTAGTTGGAACAAATGCAAGATTGAACATGCTTAGATCATGTTGGGTTAGTAGAAAGGAATGGAATAAAATAGATTAAAAAAATTAATACAAAAATAAACCAAATTTCCTTTGTCCTCATAGTAAGTATAATAAAATTTATTAATATATATTATAAATGTGAAATTAACACACTTTTTAAAAATTTTATAAATCATGATTCTCAATTTCATAAATTAATTATCTTTTCTCCTATATAAATATGGTTTATTGTTTTAGTCATATTATTTTTATTTTTCATTTTCAATCCATTTCATCATAAATTTTTTTTAATAATCAAACGGGGCTTTGTCTAAACAGTTGAACAAAGATAAGAAATAATAAAAAAGGAAAGCCTTGGAGGGCGATTGAACGTACTCCTTTTAATTTTATTTATAAAAAATATTTTAAAAAATTTATTTAACTTTATTTTTAAATTATGGTGTGATTTTTTAAATAATATTTAAAAATTATTTTTAAATTTTTTTTATAAAAAATAATATGATATTATTTTTTAAATTTATTATATAATAATATAATTAAAATTTTATATACTTTTAATTTTTTATATTAATATTAATAAAATTAATAAAAATAATTTATAAAGAGAATTGAAGGAGTCCCTTCGCATACGTAGAAGTGGTAGTAATTTTTGGGCGCTGACTTGGTATGGAGGACAAAAATGAAAAGCTACAGAAAATTAGAATGTCAGCAAGAACAGAAAGACGGCAAAGGAAAGCCAGGCGCAGCAAACGCAGCACAGTACGCCCTCCACCTCCACTGTCTCCTCTCTAACCTCTCAAAACCCTAACTCCTACCCTTCTTCCGATCATCCCTTGCCTGTATTTCTCACAATTTTTACTGCATAATGTCTCACCCCTTGCCCCTCAGAAAACAAGCTGATCACGTCCCCGATGATGGCTCCTCTGCCTCTAAGCTATCTCGTCTCAAAATTGGATTACCTTCTGATGACGCTGACAAGAAGGTGATCATTCCCTCCCCCCCTCTCCAGTTTTTGCTTACAATTTCTCAACCCTATCACTCCTACGTTATTGTTTCGCTTCATGTTCGTTTTGAATTGACTCGAGAAGTTTGGTTTATTGTTCTTGGAAATTTGATTTCTCTTTTTATAGATAGTTATCATTTCTGGATGTTGCAGAATGCAAATAAGAGAGTTAAAGATGTTGAAATTTGTGTTCCAATAGTATATGGGACTATAGCTTTCTATCTTGGCAGGAAGGCTAGCGAGTAAGTTCGATCGCTGATTGTCTGGGTCCCTTCTTTTTTTATGCGTCTATGAATTTTGCAATTGTCTCTAATGCCTCACTGATTCCAGGTCTCAATCGCATAAGTGGATGGTCTATGTACGTGGGGCGTCGAACGAAGATCTTGGGGCGGTCATTAAGCGGGTTGTATTTCAATTGCATCCTAGTTTTAGCAACCCTACGAGGGCTGTTGAATCACCGCCATTCGAACTATCGGAATGCGGCTGGGGTGAATTTGAAATCGCCATCACCCTCTTTTTTCACAATGATGTCTGCGATAAGCAGTTGGATTTGTGAGTCATTTGCTCTGAATTTCCGATATTAGATTGGCTGATTAGCCGAGAACTAATTTTTTAACATATTTTAAGTAACTAGAACATCAATAAAATCTTTAAAAAGCACGACCATCAATAAAATTTAAAGAATAATTGCACAGTAATTACGCAGTTACCTCGGATTGAAATTTTATATATAGGTATATATTGTTTACTGGATTACTGGATTTTTTTCCTAGGTACCACCATTTGAAATTATATCCAGAGGATGAATCGGGTCCGCAGTCCACCAAGAAACCTGTTGTAGTTGAATCTTACAATGAAATTGTTTTTCCTGACCCGAATGAAGCTTTTCTGGCACGTGCGCAGAATCACCCTGCGGTTATTGTGCCTCGGCTTCCTGCCAGCGTTAATCTACCCAGTCGTGGTGAGTTTGTGAGTAGTGCTGTGGCAATATTTTATTTTCCAGAAGTATTCATTTGATCGATTCCCCACCCCCACCCCCCCTCTTGCTGTACCAGTTGAGAGGGTCAGTGAAAACGACGGAACTGATACCAAAGACCATCCTCTGAGCCAGTGGTTCATGAATTTTTCAGAGGCTGATGAGCTTTTAAAGCTTGCAGCGGCACGCCAGCAGGTCGAAGTTACTAACTACCTCATTTTTTGTGTTAGAAAGCATTTCTTAGAGCAACATTATGTTATGGTAATTATATTTATTTGAAAACATCATCGATTCCCTGATCCATTCTTCACTTGTTTGGTAAGACTACTTGTTATTTATAAGCTCTTTTATTTATTTATTTTTGTATTTAACGTAAGCTATTTTATTATACTCTGAGATGATTGAATTGCCTGCATTATGTTGTCCCAAGTATTTTAGGAGGCTTTTATCATACGGTGAATTTGGTGAAGTGTGTGGCTCTTGCTTTTTCCCCTGCCTTGCACTTTCGGGGATTGGGCACTAAATGAGGACCCATTTTCTGTTCCTGTTGCATTGGCACATGTGGACCTCTATTTCTATTGGGAAAATTCAATTTTTCCCTTTTTGCATTAAAAAAAAAAAGAAAATTCCCTCTTTCATCTTGAATCAATATCTCACGTGCAAGACCATATTGTAATTGTAAACATGGTTGGGGTTTCTGAGCTGGTAATATTTCCAATGTGCTAGGTGCAAGCTCACATTGTTAAGCTGAGAAGACAGTTGAGTTTGATGGACGGGTTGACTCCGCTGTCAAAACCAGCCTCTGGTTATGATTTCTGAATGTACATGATTTCTGTTGAAAATTTGTGGAGTCAATATCTTTTAATATGTACAATATTGAATATTGGTTCTACATGATCATCTCTGTTAATATGCATATCATCTCAACACGAAAGACTCTGTAGATTGAGTCGAATCTTTCGATTTGTAGAAGGCAAGAGATTGCCCTCGTTATTTCTCAGCAAAGCATATGGTACGTGGCAGTTGTGTAGCAAAATAGATTATCCTTTTTTTTTTTTTGATTTGGTATTCTGCATAACTATGCATCGGCAATACCATGAGGGATGATGGCCAATAAAAGGAAATACTATATGAGATGCAAGTTATTATTATTATTTTTGAATTTCCAGAATAGGAATATTTTGCCAATGACAATAATAATATTCTATAAAATTAAATTCAGTTTAGATACTTGTAGATGGTCATGCATTTCATCACAGCAGAATTCACACTTGCTGCAACGAAATGTGTGCAAATTCTCAAGCAAGTTGCTGACAAATAACAGAAAGTTAGGTAAGCTGCAAGGGTGAGCAAACCTAAATAAAACTGATCAAACCAAATCAATTCAATCAAAATTAAATAAAACTGATCATTAGTAAGGTTTGGTTTTATAAATTTAAAAATTAAATGATTTGGTTCAAGTTTTTATTTTGTTCATTTGAAATCTTAACCAAACTTGAACCATGTTTTTTTATTTTTATATTTTTAAGTGTGTTTTTTTATAATTAATATTAGACTATTAATTAGTATATATTATTTTTAAATTTTAACCTTAGTTAAAGTTCAGTCCAAATTCAAGAAACTTTAATAGAATCACTAACCCTACTTTTCTCAATTTTGCTAATTACTTTTAGAGTAAAAGATGGTCCAAACTAAGGAGATATGTATTGCCGTTGTTGATTAGGAAAAATCAAATACTACTTCATTTCTCTTTGTAAGAGAAACTATCACTTTTTACTTTTTTTATATTAACAAAATTACATATTTCAAGAAGCATTTATTACACATTTCTTAAATCATCCCTCATAATTTATATTAACAAGAAATAATTAATGCATGTTTATGTTGATTAACATAGGGTATTTTAGTTTAATTTTTTTATTTTCAGACATAACTATTATAGTTAACTAATTTTATTAAACCGTATGATATAGTTTTTTCTCTTATATATAAAACGGAGGAAGTACAACACGACATGCTACTGGAACACATTTTTCTTTTATTGATTTAAAACAATTTTTTTCATTATAGACATTAAGATAATTTTTAATTAAATTTAACTCGTGTTAACGTTATTAATGCATATACTCTGATGTTTACTAATAATAAGATTTGAATATTTTTATTTTTGATATGATATTCATTTTCATTCATAAATAATAAAGTTGAGAATGTGACTTGATCTTGAAATATGAAAGGAAAAAAAAGATTCAAGAAAATATTAAAACTTGATTCATGTATGAACCAAACCGACCTTAATAAAATATCGATCAAGTTTCATTCTTTGTGCAAATCGATTGGTTCGATTCGGTTAATGTTTTGATCAAAATCGAACCAAACCATACCTTTGATCACCATTTGTGAGCAATGTCCTAATAAGTAATACTTACTCTATTTTTATTTATAGGAGAAACTATCACTTTTACTTTGTTTTTTTATATAAGTAAAATTACATTTTTCAATATGCATTTATTACAAACTTCATAAATTACCTCTTATAATTTTGTTATTCATAATCAAAATAAAAAATTAGTGAAGGCTTGATTAATGCAATTAATAAAAGATATTGTAATTCAATTTTTTTTATTTTCAAACACAATCAATATTATTAATTGATTTTCTTAAACTGTGGGATATAATTTTTTTTTCTTACAAATAGGAACAAAGGGAGTAACATTGATGAACCATGAACGAAACATGTTAATGAAACATTATCTTTAATAAATTATATAAATATGTGTGTGTGTGTATATATATAATTTTCTCATTTATGTATTGATTTATATATATTTTTTGGTTAAATCAGAAATATTTGAATATTTTATCTTTACCATTATTTTCAATTCTACTTTCGCTGATTAATATTATTTTCTAATAATACATAAATAATCCAATATGTGGTTTATTCAACTACAAGCAAGAGTAACACCATATTAGAGACTGTCTGAAAACTACTTTTCCTTCCTTACTTCTTTCTTTGGTTTTTTTTAAAATTTTTTTTCTGGAAAGAGAGTTAATTTTATTAATTGCAAAAATCAAAGTATGTACTTTCTATTAGAGCAACATGATTTGTACGAGGATTTGAATTTGATGACTGTATTTAGTATAGGCAATGAGTGCCTGTACAATAAAAATCATTAAAATCTGAATCAACAGTTGAATAAACTCAATCATTCATTAATCTTAAGTGAAGTATAAATTTATAACCATTGATTTAGATTTCAATGGTTCAGTCAATACGTATATTGAGTATAGTTACCAAATACAAATCCATTTGTATCATACTTGCGATGATTGTTCCTAATCCATATGTTGGAATATTTATAAAATGTGTGTGTGTGTGTTATAGATTTGCATTGATTAGATATTAAGCCCAAATATATTGATCTTTATAATTTTGTATGGACCATGATAGGTGGACCATACAAGATAACCCAATGGGTGGAGGCTTAACCTATAACCCTGTAGTAGTCAGTTATTTTCTATCTTGTAACTAACTGAGTCAATGATAATGTGAGATTAATTAATTAATTATTAAAGTAATTATTAATGTGATCCATATAATGCGATTATTCCATCTTCTCTATTATCTCTATATTCACTCTAAAAGCTATGGGAATTTACTAGGTTGTGTGTCTGCCTACACTTAAAATAGTCGAAGTACCATAATGAGTCATGAATTTTTCAGGTACGCACGTCACTTTATTTAAATCTTATTTGTCTTATATGAATTGAGACACTTATGGTAACATGTGGCATTAAAACTAGGTTACACATATTGTTTATTTGTTTGTTTGTTTGCAATATTTCAATTCAATATGTTTATAGAGATTATAAGAAACTAGATAGAAATTCGTTGATTTATTTATCATATTTATGCATTTTTAGTTCTCATTTCCATTATTATTAAATATGACAATGAAAATTAAATTCATAAGAGATTCGATTATCCTTTACAAATAAGCTTGATGCCTATTGTTGCTGTAATCTTGATCTCTTATTGTAGTTTTTTAGGCCACATGAGTATATTATCTCTCTCTCTCTCTCTCTTCCTTTTTTGGCTTCATCTGTCTCTATTGTCATTGCCATTGCGTCTTCAGAAATTGGCATAATTGAGTTAAGGTTCTTGTTTTTTTGCTATTCTATTTGCCACTGTCAATCACCAAAAGCTTTTGGTTTGCAACGCTAGTCTCCCAGCCTCATAGGTCATGCAGTAATGTCTAGTTTGTATTATCAGAAAATGTTGTGGATTTGTCGGAGATGGCTATCGGTAGAGAGAGCTCTAGGACTATTAGAGATGGCTGCTAGTGCATCATTGGTAACATTCGTTCCCTCTTGCTTTTGGTTTATGGCTTGGAGAGGAGATGGAACCGGGTTAGAAATCAGGTCCTGGGGATTCAATTTCATAGTGCCCGATTTAAAAAAAAATCATAAATTGCATTTTATGTACTAGATTAAAACTACCTCATTAACCCAAGATTTATAGAGTTTACTTCGTGACCTCATGAAATTTTTAGAAATTATAAGTTGATCTTTAACTTTTAGAATTACATTTTGCCCCCAAGTCTCTTCCAGAATTACCAATTTATGCTTGGATATCTTTTAAAATTTTACTTAAGTCCCAAATTTGTTCTCTACTTCCTAAAAGTACCTTAAGGATTTTTGAAATTATTTTGCTTTTTTGTCCTAAGATCATAAAGCTTGTAATTTTGTGAATTATTGGTGATACTTAAGATCTTGTAGTATTGGTAACAGACATACCCCATAGGTGTGATATTATTAATGTGATTTTGATTGTTGTCTTTGAGAATAGGCAAATAGTATTTTTTGATATATTAGATGTTTGTTATACCCCATAAATATGAAAAATTTAATACATTTTTTAGGTACAGACTTTTGTGTGAGTCAAATTTATGTGATATGAGAGCCTTCCTGGTGCATAATAATGATAGTTACATAATTAAAATTTATTTGTTGGAAATTATGTATTATAATTATGTTATACATGTATAATTATTTTTTCTCATATTTTGTTTTGCGATTTAAATTTTTGTGTTTTGAGTAACTATCTTTTGTTAAGGCCTTTAATGGGACTTACTAGTGCATGATAATAGTTGTATAATTGAAATTTCCTTGTTGAAAATTCTATGCTATAATTATGTTTTGCATGCGCAATTATTATTTTTCATATTCTGTTTTGCAATTTTAGTTTCTATTTTGAGCAACTAATTTTTGTAAAAGCTCTTTATGGGATTCATTATGATCACTTGTGAGAGTCCTTAAGTATATACCTTACAACTTTAAAAATTAGTTAGCTTTAAGAGAATCCGAACCAGAGGATCTCTCTTTACATTCTAATGCTTTAGACAATGCCTATAATAAATATTGTTATAAGTCCAATCAAATCTCTTTGGCAATGATTGAATTCACCATTAAAAAAAGGAATTAAGGATAATTTTTTTGGTGAGATATATTATGTAATGCTTGATAGCACTCAGTTATAACGAGACATTTAGTATTAAAAGGGGTATGTCTTAAACTTGTATGGGGTTGACCTAAGAGTATTTCTTGGTTTATAAAATTGTTACAACTTAAGTATGAATTCTTAACAGCTTCTTCTTCATGTAAGAAAAGGGAGAGATTGATGGATCATATAATATCAACAAAAGCCCATAAGAACTTTCAATCCCAGGGGTGAAGTGTTTCAAGTTTGGAACAATTTTGAAAGTTAAGGCTCATTTAAGTGGAGTTGCTAGATTATTGTCTTTTTATGAGCTTATACAATTTTAAATTTATGATGAGCTCTTGATACTTCGAGCATGTAAAATCCATTATATTGTAAACCATGTATATAATGTTCTACCATTAATAATCTAGCTTCATTAGAGGGATGAATAAATTATAGATATTTAAAATTTTCATTTCCACCCATATACTAAGGGCATTTACAAAAAAAAATTAGTGATATATTTCTATCATATTGTAAGAGTTATTTACATTTAGTGATTGTGTGCTCACCTATAGTGTGTCAAATCATGACAGTGTATTATATTTCAAAATGTTATATTGAAAATGAATTTTACCACCCCATATGTATGTCATTATCAATATAATT